TTTTTTTTTTTAGAAAACAGGTATAAACACGAAGTGTTGGTCGACGGCGAACCGATCCTTTTCGAAATTTTGGACACCTGTCCAAAGGTAATAGATCTATCGATGATGTATTCATGGCCGAAAGCAATTAAAATTCTTTCATTCTTTCCTTCCGTCATTTCTTGACGTTGCAGAGCGAGGACGAATTACCTTCCACAGAAACAGTACAGTGGGCGGATGGATTACTTTTAGTCTACTCGATAACCGACAGGGGTTCTTTCAATTTCGTGAGAAAAGCGAAGGAAACGTTGGCGGTGGTTGATCCCGAAGCCACGATGCCTCTCGCTTTGGTTGGGAATAAAGCCGATATGGTTCACTTACGGCAAGTTAGCAACGAAGAGGGAGAAATACTTGCGAAAGATTTCGAATGTTGGTTCAGTGAAGTATCTGCCGCGGAACAGGTACGCTTCTAATTTTTTTTTTTTTTAATTGTTTATAATTATAAATATTGTTTATACACGAAACATTGCTTATAAATTTATTGTTTATAAGCAATGTTTCGTGTAAATAGATAATCTCATCACAAAAGTATATACGTTTCTTTAGGTCACACAAGTTGCCGAATCTTTTCATGAATTGTGCCGAGAAGTTCTGGCAGCTAGAAGACGAAATAAACAATCCTTATTGGATAGAATGCTTGGTAGCAAAGCAACGCGTGCTTATTCACGAGGTAAAAGTGATTCGGCGCTTCCGAAAGATTAATATACATACGTGAAATATATATAACATTTACTCATATATAGTTGTGTTTTATAAAATTTACATAATTTTAATTACATGTATAAATTTTATAAAACAATTGTTTTTAAAGAAATTTACAATACAATTTTACGAATCAAAATTGAATGATACATAGTTATATACGTGTACTTATTATTGAAAGTTTAATTACCAAAGATTTGTGTAACATAAGATCGTGTGATGTTTTTTGACTTATATTTATAATATCGTGTAAATCACATAATACGTAAATTTTAGAAGTTTCATATTACAATTTTTTGTCAACATATAATATAAGCAAATAGTTTTTAATATAGCTCTTTCGTGTTTTTTAATGGAAGAACTTATAGTTTTTAATACCGATTAATATATGTAAAAATTTTATGCAAGATATAAATATTTCAATCAAAATTTCACATTCTACCTTGCTACCATACTATAAACATGAAAAGATTATGTAATTTGTTCACTTCACGAGGCTGATTATAAATGTAACTTATGTGAGCATTACGTATAGATATGGAATCATGTAATATATATAATTGATCTATATTTATTTTGTACTTACAATGAAATTATGACAATAAATATTTTACTTATTTATTATATCACTGTGATATGTAACACTAAAATCTTAACTGCAAAATAGACGGTTTTTCTTACATAATAATGTTCATAAAAAGTTATGGTAATAAGATATTCTTATTTCTCTTTTAACACCTATGTCACAGATTCACGTACTTACAAAATTCAAAGAATACTCACTTCGCATCATCATACGTTTCTAGAACATCTGCTAAATGTTCATTATCCCTTGGTTTTTTGAATTGTTTTCTCCTACTAATAGGTTTCTTTCGTTTAATCGGTGCTGGTTTTTTCGGACCATGATCTTGCATAGATCGTATTCCTTGTTTCTCTAAGTATTCATCAATTTTTTGATCATCCATCGCATCAACTGCAACAGCCCTCCATAATTTTTGAAATTCATCGTCTATTGGGAACTGGGCCGTTTTATCGTTATAAAATACTATTTTTTTCTTATCTAAGGGTCTTGTTATAAATAATATCTCATTCTGTAAACTCTAAAATTATTAAATACCTGTTAGAATTACTATCGAAATTGGTGCATTACATTGACAATATTTGTACCATTGATTTACTTTTACCTTTAAATGTTTATCACAGTGTGGCAGGCTTTCTTGTATATCTTCTAATAATATTCCACCAAGGCCTTTTAAATCTTGTTGTTTTAATAATCTTAATAAAGATTTCTTATCTTTAATTTTATACATAGCTTTGAACACAAATCTACCATCTGAAGTTACTTCTATCTTTGGATTTTTAATAAGAGCTTCTGTTTGAAGCCATTGTTTTACCTAATTGCACAGTTAGTTTTGTATTCTTAGATTTTTATGAATCGATCAATTTACTTTATCAGTTGTCAAACTTACTTTAGATCCAACGTCTAATTGGTTTGTTTCATCTAAGATTTCTTCTAACGTTAACGGATGATCATCTCCCTCTTGATGCCTGGCTTTCATATGCTTTACAATTTTGGCTAAAACACCGAATTTGTATTGCGTACTACCAGACATAGTTTTGTAATTAACCATGTCCAGTTTTGGGCCACTAGACACAAAAGATGGTTTTGGTTTTTTCTTGAGTGGTTCATCTCGTACGATATCTTTTTCCTGTTCTTTTTTCTTCTTTTCTATCCTATAAAAACAAGATTATTTACAATATTCTATCAAACTTTGCATAGATTATGTTTAGTTTTAAAGTTTGTATATCTTGCAATCTCATCTAAACAACTCATGCATTTAAATTACTTACTAAATCTTGCAATTAAATTTTACAACATTTTAAGTTCAATATTCATTTTAAACATAAAATATATTTTCTATGGAATTTGAGGTTAGGAAAAGAAACTCATATGTACTCACGTTGGTGTAATAAGAGCCCTCTTTTTAAAGAGTTCCCGTTCTCTAAGCAATGCTGGATCCATCGTGTTACAAGATTTCAATTACACAAATGTCAAAATTCTTAATCTTAAATTTCGATACGAATTCACTTTTGTCACATTCTAACCGCGCAATGAAACATCTACCACACAGAACCTCTTTGTCGTTTACCTCTATTGTGAAACGACGCCATATTGCGCATGCGCGTGTTTGCTTTCGATAAATCGCTCTATAATCATTATTCGATAACTTCAAATATCGAAACAGTTTAAATATCGAAGCAGAATAGAACAGTTACGGAATGTGCGCGTCACTTGCGAAGTGAAAAGAATTGATGAATATATTAGTGAATTATGTGATTACTGTGAATTGACGTAGACTTATTCTAGTTCTTAACATGTGGAATTTCACAACAAGTCATTTAGTTGGATAATTTCGCACGTACGATGTATATTTTTGTTCCACCATCGTTCTCTTGAATCTCTCTCGTGCTAGTTTATCGAGATTTAACCTGACTGTATACAATTCATATATCAAACTCGACGTCGACCGTCGCAGTGAATTATGATTTTACGATTTTTTTGCGAGCGTGAACACTTTACGCGCCATAAAATAGCTATGGTTTACGAACGTGTTTCCACGGTTTTGACGTTCGTGATATTTTGCGACCAACGCAGCCGGCTACTTTTATTTCGCGTTTTACTTTACGAACGTAATGCGTCAAAGGAGCAAGGCAACCACGGCCTCCTAAAGTAAAAGGATTCCCATTTGGACAAGGAGAGTAACTATTCCAGATATGTAGTTAATTAGCTGCCACGCTCTGGCGTAACATAAACGTGAATCGCGAGATCATAATGCAAGAAATCATAGTCGTAGACTGGCGTGCAGCCTGGATTGCAGCAGTCGCGCGCGAATACCATGATCGCGCGAGTGGGTGGAGGAAGTGGGTGGGGAAGAGCGGTAGCAAAACAATCGTTCGGTAACATAAACATCATTCCGTGCAGATTCGCAGCGTGTCACGATGTTTACATTCGATAACCTGCTTCATAACTTGTTATCACTTCCGGAGAAACGTTCGTCGTAGCCGAACGGCTCGTGCGCGTGTGTTCGGTTTTTCCATTCGGTTTCGTATATACCGACGGAGCGACGTTGACTGGCCGCGTAGCGGTATTCGTGACAGAAAGTAACAGGAAATGCCGTAGGTAGTGAACGCGCGCGGTGCGCTAGGGTCGTAACATGCGCGTTAAGCGTGCGCTCCTGGTTGCCGATGGAGCGGGACAGAGAAAGATGGAAAAAGTTAGTTACGGGAGCGAGAGGGGTGAAAAGAGGGCGAGCGAGGGGGAGGGCTTGGTTGGGGGTTGGTTGGTGGAGATGGCACCGAGACCGGGATCTGTAGCAAGAGGAGAGCGGCGAAGGGCAGCGGAGGGAGGAAAGAGAGGTGGCGAGAGAAGCGAAGAGAAGCGAAGGGTAGGGAAGAGAAGGGCGGTAGGGTTGGTTAAATGACGGCTGGTCCTAGGCGCGGCGGAGACACGCGGGGGGAACACGCGAGCGTGGAAGAGAGGGATGCTGGGGCGGTTCAAGCGAGATCGAGTTCACGCCAAGTGGAGTACGGCAGTTTGTGTCAGACCACGGAGCACGGAAGATGCTCCCGGTTGTTTACGGAACGGGTGGACCACCCTCGTCGCGGCGACGGCGCCGCGCCACGATTTTTCTCGATGCCGTGTCCGCTGCACTTGGAAATACCAACCGCAACGTCGCGAGTTCTTCTTCGATCATCAGGCCAACATCCACTGCCACCGTCATGACTACCGCTTTGGGCCTTTTAATGATCCTACTGCCAGCCGCGTATCCGGACAAGATCTCCATCGGTGAGTGTAATTCACCAGTGTCATCTATCGTTGCTATCGAATATGAAACGGCGCGTACGTAACCATTGTAACCGGTTGCAATGACAAAGACACGTTGTGCAACGTTGTGCTGGTCGAACGTTGTGCAACTGTTCCAACTGTTGTGGAGGGTTGTTGCACTCGACTCGTTGCAGTCGTAGGTGTCTATTCAACGTTGGATGGAAGTAAATACTCTCCGTTCTTGATGTGCAGTTGCTACGGTCCGCGTGAAAGCTTCTGCACATGATTCTCTTTGACGACGCGAAAGCAGAGGGGCTAAAAGGGGGAGGCAGCGATGCTCGTGTAAATAACGCGTTTTTCATGCGATGAAAACACACGATCGTCGCCGTTCGCGGATCCGCCGAGTGGTTCGCGTTTTATATGTTCGTTAGGTCGGTGTCCGTATGTTTGTTTCCCGTGAAAATACGCGTAATCATAGTAAGGTAAACAGGAATCCAGATAGAGTTCGAGCATGAGACTCGGTAGCTTTGTTGCCGTATCCCGACTCACATGCTATTTCTGCGGAACGGTAAATGAAAATCTGTAACGCTACAGTGGTTTGTTTTGGTTGTACGAAGAAATTTACCCATTTGCCCAAACTTTTCCATTGAATTAATAATGGAAGAAAATACGTTCTATTTGAAATGTTTATAAGATCGTGTGTAAGCGCATGCACGAACGTTCCAGTCATGCTTGTTATGCTTTATCACGTAAGAATTGTATTGTAAATACGCGTGTTTGGAGAACGCCATAACGAGAACGAATGATAAATCGTTAAACGTAAATTTACATTACACGCATTTCTTGCTAAATAGTCTCATACATGCCAAGTATTACTTGATCGTATGTTTTTAATACGGAGACCGATTCCAATAATACGATCTGTTACTAATACGAAATTGTTATTAACACGAATATTTCTCTTACCTTTTCGTTCTTACCATTCCAAATTGATATTTGTACGGTTTAATGAGGTAATAGATACGAGCAAACTATCTGATAACAAAATCGCAAAAGCCCACAATGAAACGGTATCGAATGATCAATCCATCAATGATTACAGTTGAAATAACTGCGAACATGATAATATTCATTGTACGTTTAACCATTCTTGTCGAACAATATACTGATTGTGAGAGAAACACGTTTCCTGAAACGTTTCGCCGTTTAAGCGATGTCGTAACAGGCCTAATTATTCGTTTCTTCAATTGTTCACAAATCGAAATCATTCATCACGAATTTGTAGACGTTGAAATTTAATCATCAGATAGTGTACATCTACGCGGATACATGAATTGTTTTGGTAACTTCAATTAAAATAATTTTACTCCAAATCGAACTCTTTATATCAAACTTTCAACTTAATTAAACCGGGTTTGAAGTTATTTCATATAACGCCAGAGCAACCGTAATATTAACTCCGCCACCGAATGACGCCATTGCGTAGATACAGACGCCTGGGAGCATAAGTTTGAACGATACAAAGTGTGCGTAATTAAACAAGGAAACGGCAAATATGTTTAAAAATGTTTAAAAATGTAATTGAAGACCATCGTGAGAAAAATGACAAATCATATTTGTCGTTCTTATAATAGAATTATGGAAGAATTAGTACGTCAATTGAAAGTACTATCAACAACTTCATATTATCACTGTGTTTTTATTTGTTTATACTTACGATTAAATATATCTTTTGCAATCTGTTTGAACATTTTGAAGAAAACTTACTGTCATAAAATTATATCGTTGATTTTTTTTTTAAATTTCGTGGATTTAACAAAATATTGATATAAAAATTTCAAAATATATTAATTCGCGTTCATTTACTATAGTAGAGTTTAACAAAACGTTCATTACGCGCCATATCTTGTTTTTTCTACTTTTGTAAGTAGAGAATAAACATATTTCGAAATATAATGCAATTTTATTACAAATGATAACTGTTTGAGATTTCTTTCTGTTTGGCCAAACACATCAGCTACATATTCGTTTATTTCACAGTTTAAAATTAAATCCAGATTAATCTTGAAGTATATATAAAATAATTATACATACATACGTGGCACTGGTAGCGTACTCATTAAAGCAGCTTTAAGTATTATTCCTACTCTATTTATTCAAATTACATACTACTTAGAACAGTTCCATTTCACGTCTATTACCTCTATTATGCAAAATCAAATAATTAGAAAGTTGCAAATGCAAATTAACCAAGATCGAAATATGAAAATGTATTTATCATATTCTTCGTTCATGGTCTTCAATTCGTATAACGAAAATACCTTCGTAGGAAGCTCTGTCATACGAGCACTGTCTACATACTTCTCCTGAAACTTTCCTTTTTTCATCCCCTAAGTAGTCTCTTTCTGTTTTTCGCCTTTCTTTCGCCCCTTCTTTCCCCATGGGTGGCACTCGCAGATCGGTCATCAATGTCTCACGCGGCGGAGAAGCGTGATATTCGGTTAAAAGCCCGGTAAATTACCGTCAATGCGCATCTCGGCTACGTAACGTCAGAAGTTGTGGGGAATAACTACAGGGCGGAGAAGGAAAGGCCGCGGTGAAATCGCCGTGGACAAGGGTAAGACGAAGACGAGACGAGCGAGATGTCGCGCGAGGGTGGAAAAGGAGCGGAGAAAGTGGGCGCGAGAGCGAGACGAACAAATGCAGAAACAGAGGGTTGGCG